AGAGATAAGAAAGAATGGAGTGACCATTCCTGAATAACAATTTAATCTCACACAAGTGATACATATTGTACTTCATGATCCTACAATGTTGTTATAAATAGTTCCAGCCAATGACTGAATTCTCCTGCTTCTTTTATCTTTAATGTCTCTTCCTTCTTCTCTAGTTTCTTGGGTTATAAATGCAACACTCCCTTCAACTATTACAATGATCTCCTTCCCTGTGCCTTCATGGACTTAACCTTTATCTTCTAAAATACTTTCATCGTTAACTCTGTAATGTAAAATTGGGGCATCTTATTCTATTCTTCATAATTCAATAACTCCTTATCATAATAGGTGGCCAAATTTTCTTGAGGTGGAATAGGTGACCTGGTCAAACTAACTTATACATGGATAAATGACTAAAACCCCCAAATAAAAACCCATTAAATATAATATTTGGGAATTTTCTTCCATTAATTCTTTATTACTTAAAAGATGGTGAATTTTATCTGGAACCTGATGGTCAACTATTTTAAAATGAACATAGAGTTGGGGAGAGCTGCTCATTGATATTTCAGATTTTTAGGAATTGGAGTTAGTGATGTATTAGTTCGTTTTTATACGCTATATAAAACTGCTGGAGACTGGTTAATTTACATAGGAAAAGAGGTTTAATTGACTCACAGCATGGCTGGAAGACCTCAGGAAACTTACAACCATGATAGAAGGTGAAGAGGAAGCAAAGCACCTTCTTTACAAAGTGGAAGGAAGAAGTGCTGAGCAAAGGGAGAAGAGCCCCTTATAAAACCATCAGATTTTGTGAGAACTCACTTACCATCATGAGGACAGCATGGGGGAAACTACCCCCATGATTCAGTTACCTCCACCTAATCTCTCCCTTGACATATGGGGATTGTGGGAATTATGGGCAAAGAAAAGAGTGACAACTCAAATCAGGGATTACAATTCAAGATGAGATTTTGGGTGGGGACACAGCCAAACCAGATCAAGTGTTATATCAATCAAGTTTTGCTAGAAAACAGTAAGATCTGAGTGTCATATCATACAGCTATAAGCATTGATTTCTAATTTATGGCAGCTGGGATAGAGCTTCTGCTTTAATATCTGCATTACATTTCAGCCGTCCATGATTCTTTCATGATCTCATACACCTTGATGCCCCTGTCTCTGCAATATTGTCTATCTATTGTGTCTTCTTCCAATGGTCCATGAGTCAAAGTACTCCTTGTCCTCCAATTCTACCTCTTGTCTGAAATTGAACCAGTCAGGAAACACTAGGTTAGGAACCAAATGACAGTGGCTTAAAACCACAAGCATGTATTTCTTGCTCACACTACATCCCCATTGCTGATTGGTTTTAGAACTCTTCATTCCAGGGCCCAGACTAATGGAGTGACTCTTATCTATCTATTTCACCATAGGGAAAATAATAATAGTGAAGCATGTGCTAGCTCTTAAAACTTGTGTTTGCTACTACCACACTCATATTTCATTGGCCAAGTCAACTCACATATACATGTCAAGAGTTCAACAGGACAAAGGTGTAAAACTCTTCCTCAAGAGAGAAGGACACCTCAATGTGAGCCAGTAAATAGTTTGAAGAGTGTCAAAATCTACCTCTGAAGTGGCCCTTTTGTCTTCCTGTTAAAGATTTCTTTTACTATGTTACAATAATAATTAATATAACTATCACTTGTTGAAATATCTATTTGTTTGATATCTATTTATCTTTTATTGATCACTCAGTTTATAGAGTACTTTTTCTACTTCCCACATAACTTCAGGCAAAAGCATTACTAAATTTTCTCCTACAACATAATGAGATCGATTTCTCCAGATTCTAACATTTACTTCATTCACCTGTGAGCCCTCACCTGTAGCTTTAGGAAAAACCACAAGTCTTCTATTGACAGTGTGTTCAAGGCACTACAAACTGTCACTAACACTTTTCTCAAACTCCATTGCTCAGTTCTAAAGCCACTCCCACATTGTGAGCTGCTATTTTGCCACCATCTCACTGTTAATATTAGCATATGATAGTTACATATTGCTCTGTAACAAATTACTATAAAACTTAGCAGCTTAAAACAACAAATATTTATTATTATCAGTTTCTGAGGGTCAGAAATCCAGTAATGGATTGGCCGGCTGATTCTAGCTCAGTGTTTCTTGTGAGGTTGCACTCAAGCTTTTACCAGGCTGCAGTCATCTGAAGGCTTTACTGGTGTTGGGAGATCTGCTTTCAGTATCACTCATGGGGTTGTTGGAAGCCCTTAGTTTCTGCTGAGTGTTATTCCGAGGCTCCAGTTTCTCACCACATGGGGCTCCCCACAGTGTTGCCTGAGTGTTCTCAAGACCTAGCACCTGGTTTCTCCCAGAACAAGAAATCAAAGAGAGGTAAAAGAGAGAAGCTTTGGTCTTTTATTACTTAATGTCAGAAGCACCTACCATCAATTCTGCCATATTCTATTGGTCACACAAACTGTGATACAGTATATGGGAAGACTATACAATACTAGGAGGTAAGGATCATTGGGAAATCCATTTGGTAGACTGACTTTGACAAATAATATTTTTTCAACCTTGAAAATCCAGAGCTATCAAAGAAAAAAAATAACTTCAGTGTGACTATTTATATAGTTATTTTTAAAAAAATATCTTTTACCTGTGTACTAGCCCCTGTGATAGTTGCTGGCTACATAGAAATGAAAATGTTTTTTTCTTTGAAGAGCTTACAAACTATTAAGGAAATAGACATACATAGTTATGTATCACATAATTTTTTTCATCAGCAATAAACTGCATATAACTATCCCATATCACAGTGATCCCATAAGATTACAATACTGTATTTTACTGTACTTATTCTATATTTAGATACACAAATACTTACCATTGTGTTATAATTGCCTACAGTTTTAAGAAGAATAATATGCTATACAGGTTTATAGCCTAGAAGCAACAGAATAAACCATATAGCCTAGGTTTGTGGTAGGCTATGCCATCTGGGTTTTTTGTGAGTACACATTATAATGATTAATAACATCATTGCCTAATGATACATTTCTCAAAATGTATCCTTGTCATAAAGGGATGCTCCATTGTACAGAAGTTAAAAATTGCTTTATACATTAATTGTTGTAATGGGGTACATACATATAATGAGAGTCAAAATTATAAGTGGTTAAAGACTTTGACTTTTGGGGTCAGATCACAGAATTTTGATTTTGTTTATTAGTTGTAGTACCTTTAGAAAATGACTTTACCTTTTGTGACTCAGTTTCTTCATTCATTAATACAGAAAATAATAGTGTTTTCCCATAGGGTTGATACAAATTTTAAATGACTTCTACACATACAGATATAAAGGCAGGTACATAGGTAGGTAGGTAGGTAGGTAGGTAGGTAGGTAGATAGATAGATGAAAGAAGATAGATAGATAGATGACAGATAGATAGATAGACAGATAGATATGTTTGCAAGTAAGTGAGTCAAAAGTTATTTAAATTTGACAGAAGGATGCTCTTGTCATGCAGTGATAGCAAATTTAGAAACATTATAATTTGCAGTTACATGTAAAGTAGAATATATGTGCAATAAATTGGATGGTCTAGCTAAGTTGTGACAATGATGATGTCAATTGCATGCATGGGTGGAAGAGGATACAAAGGCAGTTTTAGATAAAGAATCTCATCAATTATTGGAATAGGCATTTCCTATTTCTTGCTTATTCTCAACATTTGAGTTTATAATGGAGAATCAAAGAGGAACATTTTTTTCCTCTTTGTAAAAATAATGCCTTTAATTATCTGAAGAATAGAAATGTGAAATGGATAATTTACTGTGTGGATATCTGTGCCTGCCAAGGTAACAGAGTCTGAATATGATTGAAAATTAGACATACAAAAATTTTAGTCTTTCTTATTGCCATCTAGCCTGGTTTGGCCAAGACTGTCATAAAAAGCTAGAGACATTGCATAGCCATTGCGATAATCTCTTCTGGTGGACGATCTATTTGTATGACCTTGGTTATAAGGTCACAAAATGTGCTAAAGTTGGTAGAGAAAAACTTGTGTCTTTGAAATTTAAGAGCACTTTTGATTCCCTCTGGTAATTTTTCTGAAATTCTGTGAGTAGGACTTACCTAGCTTGGTTTTTCATTACTTGGAAGTCCTGAATAGTTTTTCTTGGAAGTAACCAGATGGAAAAAATTAAAAATGTTTCAGAAGAACTATTAATGCTGGGTGTTTTTTTTTTCTGGAAGCATTTTATTTTTATTTAGACTTAGATTAAGAACTTTATGAGATTAAAGTTAGCTGATCCAGTATGATAAAAACTGTTTTTATTAGAATTTCAAACCATAGCCATTTGCATCAGTGGGCTTGACTCCATTTTAACAATGTCTTTACCTTTTTTGCACTTAAAGAAGATGACAAAATAAAAGCATTTTACTATACTTTTGCTTCAAATGATGTGTTATTGTCTTAAAAAATAACATGTTCTGAGGAATGTTTTAAGGAAGCACTGACACTGTCTCCAGAATCTTTTCATAGAGAACCTTTAGTCCCATTCTTATTACCCTTAATGGTTGTTCCTTTTCAAAGAACAAGTACTGAATGTATATGTAGAATGGGGACTTCCCAGAGAAAGACTGGGTTCTATTACTGAGTTTCTGCAGGAAAAAAAAAGATGTATAGGAAAATAATGAGTAAACCCAAAGGAATTCCATTTTTAAAATAATATTTTTTAAACACACACTATAGTCCTAATAACAATTAGATAAAATTTAGATGTTGAAATTCTCAAAATCCACAAATGGAAAAACATTTTGTAAGATTTTAGTGGTGTGGACAATGCTGTGGGCTGGACAAAGGGAGAGCAGGCTTCCGAAGTCCAGGGAGAGAGCCAAGCAATTGCATGCTCTATGATGTGATTTAGTGCCTCCACCAGAACAAGGCATCCAGGAATTAGTGTTTCCATCTTTTATTTTTACAAAGAATAATTTGTGGTGTAGAAAGAAAAGAAGAGACTTTGGAATAAAGCAGACCTGGGCACCACTTATTGACACCTTCAACTTCCACAGACTTCTGAATCTCCCCAAACATCTGTTTTTTCACTTTTGAAATGACAGAAATTCAAGGGATGTTGGGAAGTGAAATATCTACAAGACTCACCAAGGTTAGTGGCCTTCTACTTGCTACTGGTGTTTGTATGTATTAGGTTTATATTTAATTTTTTAACATAATTCACCAGAAGGCTACAGCTTTCTCCATGTACAAACAAGCTCCACAATGATACAGGAAAATTTATCCTCTGTGAGGAAGACAAAGGTCTTAGAAGGGTAAATGTTAACCTGTTTGAAATTAGCTATGGAATAGTGGAAAAAGAAATACTCATGCAATTCTAACCCAAGGCTTAGCCTGTCACCCTAAGCTGTCAGATCCATGGCTTCCTCCTTTATGTGATGAATTTAGTGAGGTAAATTATTCAAAGCATAGCAGATGCTCAATAAATGTCCACTATGAAAAAAAAATAAAAGTGAACCATAACTAACTGAAAATGAAGGATGCCTGCCCTTCTGATGCATTTTTAGCATAAAGTAAACAAAGACACCTTAGAACCATGGCACATCTGTGCTTTTCCCCCTGTTTTTATGTATATATAATAGAAAAATGAAAGGGTTATTGCCATAAATCCTTTTTTCTAAGTATGCTTTGTTACAGCAGCTTTACCCATTAATTCTGCCACATCCCAATATATGAGTGAATTCTTCTGTTCAAAACCTTTGAAATAATCAAGTGTGTCCCAACATGTTTTATTTCTCTTTTCAAGTTCTACACACAAGTCCTGATCTGTTTTCTTCTAATTAGCATGTTGCTGCAGAAAGGGCTTTATTGGCCTCATGATTTTCAATATCAGATTGAATATGCTGTTACGCTTAAGGAAAGATGACAGTAACTCTTAAACAGCTAATGTGTGATTTTGATCACATTTCAGGACTGAAAGTGTGTTAGCATAAACCATTCCCACGCAATCACCTGGTGCTCCTGTGACTGTGCCCTGAGACCAAAGACATATTTTTGAAAGAAATTGTACAGGTCCCACGTGGGGTAACAGGTCAAGTAACCATCTCGGAATGCAGTTTATGCTAGAGCATCATTATTAAATTGTCTGCCTCTCATGTGAAAGGACTTTAATGGGTGGTTTGAAAAATGTATTCTAATTATTTTTTAGTCAATGAAAATCAGTAACCAAGATACAAATGATACAGCAAAGATTCCATAGAAATAAATTAATTAAAATAACTGTGAATATGATCTTTGTGTGATTAAATATTTCTAACATGAATGTTCAGTTTTATATTTCCTCAGATTTCAGTAATGAAAACTTTTATGGTCTTTTGATTTTATTGTCTTTTAAATTTTATATGTCTTTAAAAGTCAATCAACACTGACTTTGTTCTGAACCTTGAAGGTCTTGTTTCATGTGCTGCTTTGAAGTCTGAATGAAAAGAAACCAATCATTGTAAAACAATTTTCACACATTATAAGATACAGTCTTATGTGTACCTTAAGTCACTCACCATGTTCTTTGTTCTAATTCTTTGGGAGCATAGTATCATTTGTAGTAATAAACAAAGGTAAAGATAGAAGCGATCACACCAAAAAATAGAAAATTACTTGTTTACTAGGTTTACTAAATTTGTTTATATTATTTTCTTCTTGCAGTTTTCTGTTTGCTTTGTTTTAATTTGTGTATAAAAGTGAAGAAGACATACCATGACTCATACTTTTAGATCACTGCATTCCTGCAATTCCCAATCTCTTACAGCAGTAAAACTTCTAATATTGTATTTACAGTTGAATTTTACCCCGATAATATATACTGTAACTATAGTGGCCAAAAATGGAACATTCATACAGTTACTTTAAGTCCAGAGACAATCAATCAAGTAAAAACTATCGTCCGATCATTATTATCAAGTGAACTAACCTGTATAATACACATTTACAATGCCAAAAGTTTAGATGGAATAAGGGGAACACATAGACAAGAAGAAACAGTCCAGCTAAAATGATTATTTACAAAACTTCATCCTCAGAGATATTTGGCCCAACTCATTGATGGGCATGTTCAGCAACCCCAGATATTTAATATAAGAAGGCCTGGTTTTCTTTTTCTATGTTATTTTTTAAGGAATTGGCACATTCAGTTAAAAAAAATCCAAATTTTAACATTGGAAAAGTAAATCAAATTGGATGGGTTCCTGGAACTATTCTTTATGCAGCCTCAATGTTCAGAGAGCCTGGATGAGGTGAGGTTTACACTGACCTTCAAAGTGGGAGACAAGTTCTTCTGGCCTACAGTTCCACATGAATAATGATACCTGGAATCAGCAGAGTTACAAAAGAGAGACATTATCTGTATAAGTATCTGTATAAGGTTTCAAGAACATCTGGTTCTTTCTGGCTTTTCTTCCCTCACATTGTTGCCCCAGTATATTTTCTTTCAACGCAGAAACACCTTAGATTATAGACTGATGACAGTATGAAAGCTGTCCACCAGTGGCTCACGCCTGTAATCCCAGCACTTTGGGAGGCCGAGGCGCATGGATCAGGAGGTCAAGAGATTGAGACCATCCTGGTCAACATGGTGAAATCCCGTCTCTACTAAAAATACAAAAAATTAGCTGGGCACGGTGGTGCATGCCTGTAATCCAAGTTACTCAGGAGGCTGAGGCAGGAGAATTGCCTGAACCCAGGAGGTGGAGGTTGCAGTGAGCCGAGACCCACCATTGCACTCCAGCCTGGGTAATAAGAGTGAAACTCCGTCTCAAAAAACAAAAAAGAAAAAAGAAAGCTGTTCACAACTGTAAACAATGATTTTCCATGTTGCTGTTTTTTTGTACATATATGTGATAAGGCTGAGAGGAAAGAATTAAAAATAATGTCTATTTTATGGTAACTAAGTTTACAGTCTTTCAATGTAGTAACTCCTGCAAAACTTGGAGAGGCATTCAAAAGACTCATAAAATGCCCTTAAATCTCAGTTGGAAAGTGAATGCATGTGTAGCCTTTCCGTTTTTGCCAGAACAAACAAACAAACAAAAATCCTGAAATGTTTGCCACTTTTTTTCCCCTCAGATGAGAGGTGTAATGTCCTAGCTGCTGAGGTCCTCTGGAAATTATTGAGATAACTTAAAATGTTCTTATTCTCCCTCATTTAGGAAATTAAATAAACAAGCATATATTTTAAGATGTGGCAGTAGGAACATGAATGTATTGACTAATCTTTTGGAGAAGTAAGGTGGAAACCATATTCTTTATTCAGCAGCAGATACCTGATATTTTCCCTTAAATAAACTCAGCCATAGACTTAAGACTTCTTAAAAGTTCATTTGTATGCCTGCCCAAATGATACATCTAAATCAAGTTTTTTCAGTCTTGACTTTATTACCATTCTGAGTCAGAATATTCTTTATGTGAATGAGGGAGTGTCCTGAGCATTGTAGAAGGTTTCGTGGCATCCTTGGCCTCTGCTGACTGGATACCAGTAGCTTCTCCAAGTCCCATGTCAATCATGACAGCCAACAATGTCTCCAGACATTGCCAAATGTCCCCTGGGGGAAAAATAGCTCTTGGATCAGAATCATTATTGTAAATCTTGCAAAATAATATATTTTACTACTTCTAAGCCTTAATATGTTAGTTATCTTGGATATATGGATATATATATTTATATTCTCTTATATATAGTTTTTGTCATTCATATGCATTTCTCTAAGCTCCTTGGTCTATTACAAGAAACTGAAGATTGGCTTAAAAGTAATTTTGTTCTCTATTTTATAACTCTTGCAACATACCCTGTGTGTCTATCATATTTTGAAAACCTATTTTAATATGTTGGCTGTCTGTTTATTATTGATAGAAACCACTTCTTGACTTTCCACCTCACTCAGGGATCTCAGATCTTAGTTTGGGAACTAAGGTATTTTGCTGGGCTAGCTTCATGTGTGATCATGTCACTATTTAAAAATATATTTGCTAGTAGTACAGTATTATATACAGCTGTCTTCAAGAGCTAGCCAACACCTATCTCATCAGAATGGGCTTTCCATCTTCTTCTAAAGCTTTTTTTCTTCCTTCCATGATATAGTATATTGATCTTGAGGTGAGGACTCACCCCTCACTGGGAGAAATAGTTAGGAAAGCAATATGTAAAAACAAAGTCATGAATCTGACAAGAAATGTACTTAAGGTAAGTAAGAATATTGGGTTGCATTTTTATGATGTGTTAGAAAAATTGTCCTAAAAAATCAAGCTCTGGAAGCCAGCCATTTTTCACTTTGTGGGGAGTGTGCCATGCAAAAGATCTCCTGATTTTAGGAAATCACACAATGACCTATGTTGTTCTGGATGTCTACTGAGGAATATGCACCCTGCTTCAGTCTAAGAAAGAATGTTAAATTAAGGCAGCCACTTTCTCTGGGCCAAATTACATTCTTTGTAATCTCCCAAGTGTTACATTTAATTTACATTTGAAATAGAAAAGATGTGAACATAGACTTTGGCTCACAAATTATGTCAGCTTTCTGAATTCAGGGGAATGTGCTTATTGAAGCAGATGTTTTTAAATTTTTGTTACTAAAATTTCCACAAATATAAATCATTTTAAACTATGTGATTTAAGAGTTTGATAACCTGAAAATAACCACCCAGCAAAGTTTTGGTATCTTTCCTCAGCATTTCTGATCACATATTTTCAAGAAAGCATTGACATTTTTATTAAAGCTTCTCATGTAGATAATCTCTTAAAAGTTCAAATCTCTTATAGAATGTAAGAAAGATATTTTTGACTTCAATTTAAGTGGTATTCTATGCTCCTTACAAGCCTCTAAATATTTGATAACTCTTAAAGATGCAAATGGAAATTTCCTATAAATCCCTATTTTATTCAAAGATTGAAGCACTATTACCTCACTTAGAACAAATTTCATCGATTAATAACTATCTTGCAGGTAAAGGGATGCTAAATATAAGTAAAGTACTAACAAGGCTAATTATGTTCAGATGCATGGATGGTTTACCATAAAATTCATGGAGAACACTGTGTGGGTAACGAATACAATTCCTTTTTGAAAATAATGTGGTACATGTATATATTTTCCGTCTCTTTTCACATGCACCGTTTAGATTGTATACATGGGGAGATGAATATCCATCGTCCTTTGCACTTTCTGGATGATAAATTAGAAAAAAAGAATCCAAAGAATGAAGTCATGCTATTTGTCCTCATTTCTGATCTGGGAAACTAGAGGAAATTAAGATGGTTAATATTGTTATCATTTTTCCACCCAAACCCTAGGAAACAGGAATTTAAAGTCATTAAATCTGTTCTCTGTAATAAAAACATTATAGAGTTATTTTTATTAATCTTATTGAAAATATAAATATAAGCCAGAGGTTCTTATTCATGGCTCATTTCTCAGGATTTCATAAGACCACAAAACACACTGAAATCCATATAGTGAATAGGTCCCATGTAATCTGCCTGCATTGATTAAACCAAACCCATTCATTTAAACTTTATCAATTATTTTTTAATCCTTTACCATTTCCCAGAAACTGAACAAGGGACCCAGAATACAGAAGTGAAAAAGCTTCTTTAGACAGCAGTAAGTTATAAAAGGTAAATTCAACAAGGCAATGGGATAGAAAACAATGACCAAGATGTGGAGAAGACTTTGGACTGGGTTGTCAGGGCATGACACTCACTAGAGAGATTTCATTGAGCTGAGATGTAATAAAAGTGATCCAAACATGTTGATTTAGGGAAAAACTACTTCAGGAATTGTAATCACAAAGCTCCTAAAATAGGAATGAGCTGGGTGACCTTGATTTAGAGAAGAAAATCAAGGTATATAGACTCTAGGAAGTAAGATTAGGTACTGCTAGGTACTGAACTGTGTTTCTTAAAAATGTATATGCTGAAGCCCTAACGCCCACTGTTACTGCATGAGAGATATGGCCTTTAAGGCAGTAATTAAGATTAAATGAAGACTAACAGCACGGCACTAAGCTGATACGATGAGTGTTCTTATAAGAAGAGACACCAGATCTCTCTCTCTCTCTCTCCATGCACAGAGAAAAGACCATGTGAGGACACAGTAAGAAGGAGGCCATATGCAAAGCAGAAAGGAAGACCTCACCAGAACCAAAAACCAACCCTGCTGGCACCCTCATCTTGGACTTCTAGCCTTTCTCAGAACTGTGAGAAAATAAATTTCTGGTGTTTCAGTCACTCAGCCTGTGGTCATTTGTTATGCAACCCTAGCAGACAAACAGGGACCTAACTTAAGAACTGGTTAAAAATGAGGCCAGTTAAGAATTTGATATGCTATGGCTGGGAAGGTTTGATTTATTCTAAATGCAATGGAATGGAGCTGGGGATATAAATTTGGGATTTATTGGCAGGTGAAATATATTTTAAAATACACTAAAATTAAATTTCCTCAGGACAGAATGTAGATAGAAAAGAATCAAGATTTTATGACAAAAATCCAAGTCACTCCAATGTTAGAGTTCTCCCAAACATTTAAAGAAGGCTTACGCTGATTCTATACAGCATCTTCCAAAAATTATAAATTCTTTACAGCATCTTTCCAACTTATTTTATGAGGCCAAAATTACGTTGATATTACAACCAAAGAGACTACAAGAGAAAAACTATAGATCAATATCTCACATGAACTTAGACATAACATTTCTAAACAAAATATTAGCAACTTGAGTGCATAATTCTTTTTTACATAAGAATTAAATAATTGCATAATTCTTACTATGTATTTCTTATTATATAATTATGTAATTCTTATGTAAAAAAGAATTATACACCATAGCCAAGTGGGATTTATTCCAGATACACAATGCTTTTAAATATTTGAAAGTAAGTCAATATAAACTACCATATTAACAGGATAATCACATGATCATATCAGTTGATCAAGATCAAATCTATGATAAAATTCAACATATATTTATAATTTTAAAGAATCTCTCCAAAAATAAGAAACAGAGGGGATTTAGCTGGGCATGGTGGTGCGTGCCTGTAATCCCAGCTACTCAGGAGGCTGAGGCAGGAGAATTGCCTGAACCCAGGAGGCGGAGGTTGCAGTGAGCTGAGATCACGCCATTGCACTCCAGCCTGGGTAACAAGAGTGAAACTCAGTCTCAACAACAACAACAACAAAAAAGGGATAAAGATCATTTACAGAAAACACAAAAGCTAGCATTATACTTAATGGTGAGAATCTGAATTAGTTCCCCCCGCTAAGATCAGGACCAGGCAAAGATGTTTGCTATCATCACTTTTATTCCACATAGTGCTGTAAGTTCTCACTGGTGCAGTGCAATAAGGCACACAGTGGAAATAAAGGTCCTGAAATTAGTTTTAGTTAATTCTGTGTTGCTATAACAGAATGCCACAGACTGGATAATTTATTAGGAAAATTGTTTATTTTTTACAGTTTTGGAGCCTCAGAAGTTCAAGGTGCAGGGACCCGCATCTGGTGAGGGCCTTCTTGCTGCATCAACACATGCAGAAGGCAGAAGGGCAAGGGTGCAAAAGATAAAAAAGGATGGGGGAGGGATTATATGAAAGGGCCAAACTCATCCTTTTTATCCAAAACCCACTCCTGAGATAATTAAGTCATTCCTGCAATGCATCATTCATTAATCCATTCAGAGCCCTGGTGACCTAATCACCTCTTAAAGGTTCCAACACAAAAACTTTGGAAAATGCATTTGGGGGATTAAATTTCCAACACAAAACTTTAGGGGATGCCTTCAAACTATTGCTAGTTTGAATAAAAAAATTAACTGTTTATCTTTCAAATGACATAATTGTATATGCAGAAAATGCCAGGCAATCTTTAAAAACTGCTAGAACCAATAGATTAGTTTAGCAAGATCATAGGATACAAAACCAACACACAAAAATCGATCATATTTTTATATGCTAGCAATGAATATGTGGAAAATGCAATTAAAAATACAAGATTATTTATAATTATTTCAAAAAGAGAGAAATAATTAGGTACAAATCTAACAAAGTACACATAGGTTCTCTATGCTGAAAATGACAGGACACAAAGGAACAAAAGTAAAGGACATTTAAATAAATGGAGAGATGACCTTGTAATGGATAGGAAGATTCAATATAATAAAGATGTCAATTCTCTCCAACTTCATCAACAGGTGGAATTCAATTCATACCAAAATTCCAAAAAAATTTTTGCAGATACAGTGAAATTTATTTTAACATTATATACCAAGGCATAGGACATGGACTAAGATAATTTTGAAAGCAAATAAAGTGAGATGGATTATTATATCCAATGTTAAGACTTACTATATGGCTACAATAATCAAGAGAGTGTGATATTGGTCAGGGAATAGACTCACAGATCAATGGAACGGAACAGAGAGCCCAAAAGTAAACAGCACAAATATGCCCAGCCGATTTTTGGAAAGTATATAAAAGCAGTTCAGTGGAAGAACAGTTCTTTCAACACATGATGTCAAAGCAATTAGATATCCAAAGGCAAAAATTGAGTCTCAACCTAAACCTAATACTTCATTTAAAAATGCATTCAAAGTGTATTGTAGACTTAAATATAAAATGTAAAACTAAAAAACTTTAGCATAAAGCAAAGAAAAACTTTAGGAAGTGGGGCTAGATGAGAAGTTTTTAGATATAACACCAAAAGCACTACTCATAAGAGAATAAAATTACTATATTGGACTTCATAAAAATTAAAACCTTTTTCTCTGCAAAAGACTACATTAAGAGAATGAAAAGTTAATCTAAAGTTAATCTACAGACTAGAGAAAAATATTTGCAAATCACAAGGTTCAACATAGAACTTCTACTTAGAATATATAAAGAACTCTCAAACTGAACACTAAAAGAAGGCTGGTCTGAAGATACTGAATTATCTTAATTGATTGTTCACAGTTCATTTTGTACTCTTTTTTCTACTCTTTCCCTCCTCACTACTGCACTTGACTAATTTTAAAAAAACAATTAAATTAGAAAATTTAGGAGAGAGATCCAAAATGGCTGATTGCTAACAGCTCAGGATTGTAGCTCCCAGTGAAAGCGCAATGAACAAGAGGACGTCACACTTTCAGACAAATTTTTGTCACTCACGGACCAGAAGATTCCTAGTGGAGGAGCCCCACGGGTCACCAGTGCAACTCTTGTGGCCAGCGTGGCGGTTTTGCTGGCGCCTCAGCGTGGCAGCTCTTGGTGCAGAGTAAATGGGAGTGGTTCCCCTTCTGAATGACGTTTGGAGCTCCAGGAAGGCAGAGTCGCCTATTATGGACTCAAGAAGGAAGCCAGACCTGAGATTCCCAGGCAGAAGAGCACCATCAGTCTTAACGCTGCTGTTTTGGCCGACGCAGTGGGTTATTCAGATTCTGGCACTGGGAATCAATAAATTGGATGTCCACTCAGAAACCTAATTAGAAAGGCTATAATTGCAAAGACAACAGATAGATAAATTTATAACGAAGGGAAGAAACCAGCCTAAAAAGGCTGAGAATACCCAAAATCAGAATGCCTCTCCCTCTACAGGGGATTACAGTTCCTCATCAGCAATGGAACAAGACCTGATGGAGAAAGACTGTGTTCCATTAACAGAAGTAGTCTTCAGAAGATGGATGATAAGAAACTTCTGGGAGTTAAAAGAACTTGTTCTAACCCAACGTAAAGAAACTAAGAACTTTGAAAGAAGGTTTGACGAAATGCTAACAAGAATAGTCAATATAGAGAGGAATATAAATGAATTAACGGAGTTGAAAAACACAACATGAGAACTTCGTGAAATATGCACAAGTTTTAATAGCCAAATTGATCAAGCAGAAGAAAGGATATCAGAGGTCAAAGACCAACCTAATGAAATAAAACAAGAAGACAAGAATAGAGAAAAAAGGATAAAAAGGAATGAGCAAAGTCTTCAAGAAATATGGGACTATGTGAAAAGACCTAATTTATGTTTGATAGGTGTACCTGAATGCGACGAAGAGAATGAATCCAAGCTGGAAAATACTCTTCAGGATATTATCCAGGAAAACTTTCCCAACCTAGCAAGGCAGGACAATATTTAACTCCAGGTAATACAGAGAATGCCACAAAGATATTCCTCAGGAAGAGCAACCCCAAGGCACATAATTGTTAGATTCACCAGGGTTGAAATGAAGGAGAAAATACTAAGGGCAGCCAGAGAGAAAGGTTAGGTTACCCACAAAGGGAAGCCTATCAGACTTACAGCAGATCTCTCAGCAGAAAACCTACAAGCCAGAAGAGAGTGGGGTCCAATATTCACATCCTTAAAGAAAAGAACTTTCAGCCCAGAATTTCATATCCAGCCAAACTAAGCTTAACAATTGAAGGAAAAATAAATTTTTTTATGAACAAGCAAGTACTCAGAGATTTTATTACCTCCAGGCCTGCTTTACAAAAGTTTCTGAAAGAAGCATTGCACATAGAAAGGAACAACCAGTATTAGCCTTTCCAATAATATACCAAAAAGGAAAGAGCATCAACATAATGAAGAATTTACATCAATGAATGGACAAAACAGCCAGCTAACATCAAATGGCAGTAATCCTACATTTAAATAGACTAAATCCCTTAATCAAAAGATACAGCCACAACCCAATGGTATGCTGCATCCAGACCCATTTCACATGCAAGGATACACAAAAACTCAAAACAAAGGGATGGAGAAAGATTTACCAACCAAATGGAGAGCAAAAATAAATAAATAAATAAATAAAAAGCAGGAGTTGCAATTCTCACCTATGATAAAATAGATTTTAAGGCAACAAAGATATAATGGTAAAAGGATCAATGCAACAAGAAGAGCTAATGATCCTAAATATATACGCACCCAATACAGGAACACCCAGATACATAAGACCTATAAAGAGACTTAGACTCCCTAGACTCCCACACAATAATAGTGGGAGACTTCAACATCAATATTAGATAGATCAATGAGACAGAAAATTAATAAGGATATCCAAGACTTGAGCTCAGATCCAGAACAAGTAAACTTCATAAACATTTATAGAACTCTCCACTTTAAATTCACAAAATATACATTCTTATCAGTATCACATCACACCTACTCATAGGTTTAAATAAAATATTGATCGGCCATTATTAAGCACAATTATTAGCATAAAAGAGGTTTTCAATACCCATTTTTAGAATACAACATTCCTGTTCTCTCT